ATTCAAATATTTTCAAAATCTACTATCTTAATAAAATTTCTTAAATGAATTCAATTTTTTTAAAAAATGCAATAAAACGCGTTTCAAGAATTCAATGATTTTTACAAGTAATAAAATTTTTCTCATAAATTCAATTAATATTAAAAAAATGACAATAAAATTCGTCCTGAGAATTCAATTATTTTTATGAATAATAAAATTTTTCATAGGATTTCAATTATTTTTAATACAATTTTAAATAAATTCCTTAAAAAATGTAATTATTTTCAAAATTTTTTTGCAAGACTTCAATTACATTTCACAAATAATGAAATTCTTCGCTGAAATTCAAATATTTTCGAAATCTACTATTTTAATAAAATTTCTTTAAATGAATTCAAGTTTCTAAAAAAAATTAGTAAAACGCGTAGCAAGAGTTCAATTATTTTCATAAATAATAAAATTCTTTACAGAATTTCAATTATTTAAAAAAAAATTTAATAAAAATTCGTTGCAAGAATTCAAATATTTTCATAAATAATATAAAATTATTAACAGAACTTCAATTATTTAAAAAAAAATTAATAAAAATTCTTTACAAGAATTCAATTATTTTCATAAATAATACAATTTTTCATATAATCTCAATTATCTTTAATACAATTTTAAATAAATTCTTAAAGAAATGTAAATATTTTCAAAAATCAATTATTTTTCAAAATTCATGCAATAATGCTTTTAATATTCAATTATAATGTAAAATTTTAACTGAAATTCAATTTTTAAGTCAATTATTATTAGAAAATTCTACGAGCATTCAATTATTTAAATAGAAAAATAAATAATTTATTGAATAAATGAATGTTTTTTTCAATATTCAATCCATAAAAAAAATTTCATCAACAAATTTTTAAAGAATTGAATTTTTTCGACGAATTTGAATAAAATTTTCAAGAATAATTGCATTTTTCGAGAAATTCGATTAAAATTGTATTAAAAATAATTGAAATTCAATGATGAGTTTTATTATTCATGAAAATAATTGAATCAAGGTTAAAAAATTTTATTATTTATGAAAATAATTTAATGTTTGCTTTAAATTTTATCGACACTTTTGTTAAATAATTGAAATTTTTTGAAAAATTTTATTATAAAATAGTAGATTTTGAAAATGATTGAATTGAGGAAAATTTTTGAAAAGAATTAAAATATTGTCCAAGAATTTTATTAAATTTTTTTTTTCTTTTTTTTAATTTTTTTTTTTTTTAATTCAAATTTTTTTAAATAATTGAATTTTGGAGAAGAATTTTATTAATTTAAAAGATAATTGAAATTTTGACGTGGCATTTTTAAAAATTTGTTGAACATAATTGAAAAATTTAGTTATATTATAATTACATTATATTAACTTTTTCCTAATTTCCCTGACCTATGAAAACCTTGGAAATGTTAAAATACTTTTTAAAATAAAAAGCTTGCAAAATTTCCATGGAAACTCCATGGAAATTCCCTGGAATTTACACAGGGTTTCCATGGAAATTTTGCAAGTTTTTTATTTTAAAAATATTTTACAATTTCCAGGGGGTAATTCCATGGAATTTTTCGACGTGGGGGGTCCCTTTGGACAATCAAATAAAAAAATTAGGTCATTCTGATTTAAGGGTATAAAGCAATGATTCGAATGAAGAAAATCAACCACAATTTAGAGAAAGTAAAATCTCGTCGGCTCTGCGATTCGAAAGAGGCAGGATTTTCGAGGGTTGTTTGCGGAAACGTGCGTTTCTCATTTCGTTTCGAACACGGACCATGGAACGCCCTTTTCGAAAGATTTATCGAAGTTGTGGCTTGTTACGACGGCTTTAGGCTTTGGTTCCGAGGTAGAGTTGGTTTCACGTAGCTGTTGGATGTTGGAGAGTGGGGGAGGGGGATTTTCAGAAGATGAGGGGAAAGTGGAGGGGGAGGAGATAGGGCTTGATAAAGGTGCTGGCGATTGATTAAGAGGGTCGTTTGTGCTGGGGAAACGCTGCTTCAAACATCACCTCTCTCTCTCTCTCACACACACACACACACACTCTCACTCTCTCGCTCTCAAATTCCCTTTCTCTTCACCTAAAGCAGACGCTTTAACCCTCTGAAAGTCTCCTTCAAACGTTAACGTTGACACTAATGTCCCTTACCTTCAAATGAATCACCCAAAGTCAGAGACAGGTAGTATTAAAATAGAGGAGAATTGCAAATACTCTCTAAAATGAGGGTTTTAAATCAAGAAAGAAGTGATTAATGAGAAATTGTTCTACTACTAATAAGCTCTCAATGTAACTCGAGAGGCGTTGGAAATACTGGGTCAAGATTCATTTGAAATGCAATTTTTTTTATATTTCCTTTTTTGCACATTGAATAATTAATTTTGTTCTGTCGAATTATTGATGCACCTACTGAAGTTGGATTATATTTTTCTAATAGATTTTGCAGCGCCAACTGGTGAAAGCGTCTCTGAACTAAAATCTCGACTTTCAATGCCATCTGTCGACGGCTTCAGTGAACTACAACTTGACTTCACTAGAAGATACAGGTAACTGCTTATATGTTGTCCTTCCGGTTTGCATATTTTAAAACCGTGGCATTTCTACCATTATTTTATTAGTTCGTGGCTTTGTTTAATATTTTAGCTACGAACTAAAAATTATAATAGAAATGACGCAGTTTTCGAAAAGGCGTGCAAACCGTAAGAACAGCATATATGCAGTTAACTGTATTTCCGCTACGTTCCAAACTATCGTTTGCAGTGCCACCTGTCGACAGCGTCAGTGAACTAAATACCAAATGTTACTTCAAGGTCACTTTAAAAAAAAACTTAATTTACAAGGTATATCAGAGAATCGTGAAAAGAGTAACAAAACCATAAACTTCGTGTCTTTCTCTAATTAATCCTTACGATATTGATTCTAATTAAAAGCCAAAGTGTTGCGAATTTCCTTCGCGATCAAAATTCACAAGTTAGAAAAGGACAAAAACATATTTGCTTCCTTTTCCATAGAACGATTTTCGTTTCCGAAGAAGTTCTCCTAAGACCTTAAGAGTCTCTGAACACGAAAATCAAAATCGTAAAACGTAAGTCGTAAACTTTACATAAGAAAGAAAAGAACAGGATATTTCCGTCCTTTACTCTCTTATGTAAATTTTACGATTTACGTTTTACGGCCTTGAATCTTAGGCTCTATTGTGTACTAGCCTTAATACTTTCTCGGAAATTCAGTCATATAGCGCGACTTTCGTGACACCTGGTGTTAGCGTCCCTGAACTAACACCGCAAGCGAATTATTAGAATGTTTTAAATTTAATATTTTGAATAAACATTTCCTTTTAAATAAATGGTTAAAATTACTACAGTAAATTAAATTATATTACAATAAATTAGAATAAACAATTAAATTACAATAAATAAATATTTAAAATAAATAAATAATTATATTATTATTATAATTAATTGAAATAAAATAAATAATTACAACAAAATAAAAAAATTAAGAGTTAAATATTGTCTTTTTTATGTTTTTCAAGTCTTAGCTAATTAACAACATTTGGATAGTTTTGAATAATTAATTATCATAAAGTTTGTGCTAAGGCTTAAAGATCGAAAATTTTGATCGTTTTGGATGGAACATGGCTACTGAAACTTTAGACGAGCTTCACTTGGGAAATTTAGTCTTGCAAAGTGGTCTGTAAGAGGCTTCATGTAGGTTATAACTGACTTTGGAAACTTGCTTTTGAAATCGAAATTTCTCAACACTTTGGACTTTAGTGTATATGTAGCTAAACCCTGTATTAAAACAAGTTTACATACAAAATTAGTTACCTGACAAGTGAATAAGAACAAGTGAATTAAAAAATAAAATTGAAAACGAAAGAATAGATTCGAGAAAGTGGAATATTTACGAGTTTATTGTAAATTGACCTTAACATTGCCTTGAAGTGATGCCATCTGGTGATGGCGTCTATTAACTATTATTTGGAATAATTCTACCAAAAAAAATTGTTTCAGTTCATAGACGTTTTATTATAATAAAAATTAATTATATTCTTGAAAGGGAAAATACTTGTTTAGAAGAAAATTCATCAATTATTTGAATAAGAAAATTCTTTTTCTTGTAAGTTGACCTAGTTTTGATTTTCCAATGAGCTCACATATGGCGATTGTTGATTTCTAATCTTGGTTTTCAATCAATTCGCTAGTGGTGTCAACTTCAGTCTATAGAACAGTGATAAAAGATCGACTCTTGAGAGCTGATTGCACTATTTTCAGCAAAGATTGAGAGTAGAGGGGAAGACTTTTGAAAAATTAAAAAACGAAAGTCGACAGTAATAAGAAATGAGAAAACTTTTTTTTCATCCAACAACTTTAAAAATCCTTGTATTTTTCATTTCTTTTGAAATAAAATTTAATAATCTTTCTGACATCATTTTCCATTCTTTTATTTTACTATGATTTTCATGAAAATATTTTTACAAAGTAAAAAGTAAAAGGGAAGGAGATGATGATTTCAAATAAAATTGAAATTCGCATTCGCAATTTTGTTTATCTCATAATAATTTAGCTCCGAGGATTTGTTTTAACCAAAATAAGGTCAAGACGGGTTTAAGTTTTTTCGAGGTCAAAACAGCAGAAAAGATTTCTTTGCTTCACTGTTCTTTCTGAAAACACCACCCACTCCTACTTTCACAAACAAGCACAATAATAAATTCTCAATGTTGACTTTTACGAGATTCAACTTTGTGTTTTCTCGCAATGCTGTTTAGCTTCCGTCGATTCTCAAGACGGAAAATAAAAACTTTACGAAAGCAATTGAATTGTAATTCGTAAAGTAGCTACTGTATTTAATTTTCCCCATTTCTTTCTCTGTCTTTTCAACCATTCCGAGACTATTTTTTTTTTATTTCTTTAGTTAATTATTTTTTTTATCTTCTCTTTAAGTTTTTTTTTTTTTGTTAAATAATAATTTAATGGTGATGAAAAACAATACCTGCACTAGCCGCCCCTAACCTAAGGACAGCATCGCCTTGAAGGGAGATGGATAGGGTTGCTGTATCCTCGAGACGAGCGAGGACCTCTTCTGGAATGTCCTCAGGTTCGCGGAGGCGGAGGGTGACTTCACCTCCGCCTCCGCTCCCCTGGCCATTTCCACCACCGGGGCTGGTTGAGGCTGAATACATGAAAACTGAACCATATCCATGCAATGATTGTAATGGCAGCCTCACGCCGCCCACTTCCCCAACCGGACCCTGAAATCAGAAAAATAATTTTTATTTTCATCAATTTATATAGTTTACTGCCAATTAACTACAAACGAGTGAAATAAATTCCATTTATCAAGAATTTAGAAGAAATAAATTAATAAATTTGTAGATTTGTAGCCGAAATTGGACATATGCCATCTGGCGATAGCGTCACTGAATTAAAAAGTAGATAACTACACCTTAAGTGCCACTGGTAACATTTTTAATTTTACCGCAACTGCCCAACGCTGGTAGATGAAATTTTCAACTTTTTTGATAACTACCCAACCCTACAAAAATTTTACGTCAACTTCCCAACCCTGGTAGATGAAATTTTCAACTTTTTTTGATAACTACCCAACCCCACAATAATTTTGCAGCAACTTCCCAACCCTGGTAGATAAAACTTGTAACTTTTTTGTTAACTACCCAACCCTTTAAGATACAAGTAACTGCATATATCCTGTTCTTAAGGTTTGTACACCTTTTTGAAAACCGCGTCATTTCTATTATAATTTTTAGTTCGTGGCTAAAATAATAAACAAATTGGCCACGAACTAATAACATGATAGTGTAAATGCCAAGGTTTTCAAAAATGTATACAATCCGGGAAGGAAAGCATATAAGCAGTTACTTGTAATTAATGACTAGCAAGATTGAACAGTTGATAAAGGATCGAAAATTTGACAGTCGATTTGAAATTTTATTCAATTTTAATTTTACTATTTTAGTTATAATTTAAAATTCGAAATTAAATGATTTTTAAAATGCGGAAAATTTTTATAATAATTCCACCTGGTGGAAGCGTCAGTGAACTAAACGTGATAATATTAATATCAATTACTATTAACCTGACTAATTTATTTATTGATTGAGATAATCACAGGACATTAATAATAATTAATGATTAATAATTAACAAGACAAATTGTTTACACAATAATTTACACTAATAATTTGATCACAAATAAATAAAATTCATCACTTTTAATCTAATTAATTATTAATTAATTTTTAATTACAAATTATGCGCCGTACGTTATTTTAATAAATTTATTATAGGAAAATAATTCTTTTATGATCAAATTCAAAATGTATTTTATATTGTTTATTTTATGAATGTGTTATTGTTTATCGTTTTGATTCACTGACGCCTCCGCTAGAAGGCGCTATTGTTAAATAAACAAAAATTGAAGGCAATTTATTACAAAAAATAATTTTATAATTGAATTCGATCGAATTCAAAATGTATTTTACTTTTCTCACTTCATTAATGTAGTGTTTATTGTTTTAGTTTACTGACGCCTCCGCTAGAAGGCGCTAATGTTAAAGAAACGAAAATTGAAGTCAATTTATTACAGAAAAATAATTCTCTAATAAAATTTGATCGAATTTAAAATATATTTTGTTTTGCTTACTTTTTGAATGTATTGTTTATTGTTTTAGTTCACTGACGCCAACACTAGAAGGCGCTAATGTTAAAAAAACAAAATTAAACTTGATTGCCTTATGATTAAGAAAATAATTTTAATTTAATAATTATTTAATAAATTTATTTAATATATAAAGTAATTAGTTTTAAAAAATAAGAAATTTATTGTAAAATTCTTTTCTTAAGTTGACACTTTTAGGGTTAGGAACGATTTTCACGATTCTTTCGAATAAATCAGAAGATACATTAGGTTTAATTTAAGATCGAAGTCCCTCTTATTTCTCAACGTAAACTCATTCCCTCAGGATCTACCTTCATTCCCTTTTTTTCAGAATCCCTTCTTATCTACCTTTCCATTTCTTTTTTTACCATATACACTAACACTCTCATACTTCAGCTTAACGATAAAAAAAATGTCCAACTCTTCATAGAAATTTACAGATAAAAAAAATCCCATCGCGATTAATAAAGATTGTAAAACTCCGACAAAATGACAAGACCTGTGATAACAAAATTTTTTAAAAACTTATTTCCTATTTTTGTTATCGAATAATCAAAACTTTTAAAAATAGTTTTATGATCTAAGTGTGTGAAAAAATTTTCTTTGTGATAGAAAATTTTTTTTCTACAATTTTAATCGAGTTAATTTAACGTTTTAATAATGAAAGTCTAAATATAAATTTTATCAAACGTTAAAAATGTAACATTATAAAAGGTTGAATAAATATACATTTTTTTGTTTTTAAACTAAAATTAATGTCTCGTGAGAGTTAGATTTTGCGACTCAACGAGGTGATCATTTATGAACGTCAATCAAAATTCTTGACATTGACGTAACAATAACGTCACATGTTTTAGACATGTTCTTTTTTATATTCCATTAGTGAAGTGTCACGTGGCCATCCAATTGTAAAATTTTGTGTACCCGTATGTTTCCACAAATTTCTTTTGTACTCGCGGAACGCACATGTTAATAAATAATAAAAATGGTAATTAACAAACTCTTCCTCTTTACATTCTACGCTAAAAACAACTAAAAAGTAATCAAGAATAAAAAAACACTGCAAACTGTTAATTAACGATAATAAAGCAAGTTTTAATATTATACTATGTTTACTTAAAAAGTTAAAATTATTATTATTTTATTATTATTAATATTCTGCAATATGGTTGTTTTTTTAATATTTTTTTTCCATCCCTATTTTTTGCAGTTAATATTTTTACGCTCCAAGCGCGAGGCTCCCAAGTGTTTTAAAGGCTCATGAAAATTTTATAACCAAAAATGTTTATGGTTTTGGCAAAAATTATTTAAAAATTATTAAAAAATTTATTGCTTAATTAGAAACGCAATTCTTAAAAAATGAAAAGGTAGTAATTAATCTATAATTAAAAAAATAAAGTTTGCATAAGAAGTTTATTAGGTTTGCTGTTAAAATTCGACGATGTTAGTTCAGTGACGCCACCGCTTGGTGGTGTTTTGGTTCTAGTCGCACACCACCTACCGACAGCGTCAGTGAACTATTCGACAAAACGATTTTCTTATATTTAATAGTCTCGACAATAAATTCAACTGCAAAGAAAATATTTCCGTAGAATTTAAATTATGATGAATAATTAATTATAAGAATAATATTTTTACTATTTATAATATTATTTGTTAGTATTTTTCCATTTGCAGTGTTACTTATGTACTGTCTTATTATTTTTATTATTAAAAACATTACACATTATTAATTTAATTGTTTATTTATTTAAACATAAATTAAGTTATATATTTCTTTTTGAAAATTTTTTATTCCATGTTGAAAAGCAATGTTTTTAGTGTACTTGGTCACTGGGTTCGATGTTCTTGTTCTATTATTTACGTAAATTGATTCGTGGAACGTACATTTGCAGGCATTTGGACGATAGGCCGGTCAGTACGATGAGAGTAATATATTTTAATGGTCATTTTGATAATGGCCCTTTGAACATGGAACATAACCCTTTCTGAATGGCTGATGTTTTCCATGCTTTATATGAAAATGCGTTCTGAAATAACAGAAAACGACCTCAATTTTCCAAACCACAATATTGTAACAGCAATTTTTACCTCATACTCATGAATAAATCATTGACAAATGCAATCATGGTTTAACGCCGTTTAGGATAAAAAAATTTTATTTTCTCTCTTCAGTTATTTCTCATTTAGAAAACATATGTATTTTTATTCCGAGCAGAAATAGCTGCGAAAAAATATATTTTTTAATTTAATTTCCCAATGTTTGATAGTTTATTTGCAAAACATTTAGTTTTGTGCGCCACCTTGCGATGGCGTCGGTGAACTAAATTGTTAAAGGTGCCTTCTACAATAAAACGAATTTCAAATTATTATTTTTTATATTCAATTTATGATAAATATTAATAATAAATAAATATTAGGTTATTCCGTCGTTGTAGAAATTTATAATTCACAAATTATTGGAAAAGATAAAAATGCAGTTCCAATTAAAAGTTGAAGCGGTGGAAAATAAATGCTTAATTAAACAATTAAACAATATTTATTAATGTAATAAATTGAAAATAGATTGTTTTTTAATATGACGCAAAAGATAAATAAAATTTAATTAATGGATATTTTATAAGTGCGGGAAAAATATTATCACATAATTTTAAAACGTTTGAACGTTATTTTCTCTGAAGAAACGTCTCTCTGGAGATTAAGAATAGTTGTTTTTTTATGTCTAAAGAGACGTACACAAACCACGTATTGCCAAGGGAGGCTTAGAAAAACATTTTCGTTGTTGAAAAACCACCCCTTAACGCCAGCAGCTACCCTATGTTTGTCTAGCTCCTCAAGGAGGTTAGGAGTGGGACTCTCGAAGCGATATTTGCCCTTGATCGAATAATAATCAAATATGCAGCTAAAGAAAGAAAAAAAAAAGTTGACCTTATTTCCTCTGCAACTGTTGCTAAAGAAATGTTTAACTTGATCTTAAGAACACATTAAAAATTAAATTAACAATTCATATTTTTTTTAAAAACTATAAATTACAAACTAAATATATTTATAGTAGAAATTAAGTACTAAATTTTAGTGCTTTATTATTATTCGAAACAATTGAAAAGAATCTAGAAACTTAGGAAATATTTCGAATTAATCTTAAGTTAATTTTAAATTTCCCGCCAAATTAATTAGTACATAGACGCCTCCGCGTGAATGCGTCAACGAAAACCTTTTTGTCATTGAGAATAACCTCAATAGCAAGAACGTTTTTCTTTTATAGAATCACCGCATAAATTGAAAAAAAAATACAATATTGACTCTCTTCATAAAGTTAGAAAACAAAAAAATTTTCTAATTACTTTATATTCGCAAATCATTTACGTATGGAAACCAACAAAGTTCGTTATATTTTTACATCAAATATTATATTACATTTTGTTTAATAACGAAAGAAGTCATAAAATAACATTTTTTTATATAAAGCTACCAGAAAAATGGGAAATCTGAAACTATTCTATCGAGAATATTGATATTGCATTTTTTCATTGTGAATTTAAAACGTGAAATTTTTAATAATCTCAAATTTCAT